GATACCAGTATGCATGACCACAGATGAAATTATGGCAGTTTTCAGAATTGGCCCTCCCCCAAGTGTCCTAACCATAGATTGTAAATATTAACAGATATAGTCACTATCTTTGCCATTGAAACTAATGTGCCACCCCTTTGGCCTTCTGTGGGCTTTTTCAAAATGGCTGCGGGGCAGCAATAGGTGAAAAAACGCATGCATATGCGAATGCGTTAGCCAACATGAACCCGATTCATTTAACGAGGGCATTCAAAAGTCCACAACGGCAAAACTAGACTGGTCCAAAAAGAAATACTTCCTGCCCTCAGCATTGACAGCATCTGGAACGTAGCGTTGGGCCAAGAGCCGACTTTTGGACCATCCTGTAAAGCCATTTTTGAGAGGAAACAAGACGCCATACAAAAGTATTGGGTAGTTATTTTTCCGGGTACAAGCCCACCGGCAAGAGTGAGATTGCAAGCATGTCAGTGCACGTCCTCATGGACCTTTTGGAGCCGGGATTCACTCTCACTGGTTCCGGTAGATGGGATATCAGCATTCATGACTATAAATTAAATTCCAAGAGCTAAAAAGTACTTGCTTTATGGCAGTTTTCAGAATTGACCATGCCCCAAGTGTCCTAACACATGAAATACCTTACATTGCCTTCTCTATGTCTTAATGCTTACCAACTTTCACAAGACTGAATCACTCTGAATCCTATTATTATTAGAGACCTGACAACACAGACAGGAGCTGCTGTTGAAAACATGAGTTTGATCAAATGCTGACTCCATGCAGAAAAACCAGACGAATGACTAAGCTTTAAATGTCCCACATTAGCAGTGCTGGCAAATGGAGTCCGTAGAGTGGATCTAAATCTATTCCAGGTTGTTTTTGATTAAGCCGATGACAGCACTGGTGACTCGTACTTGTCCTGAGGGACCTAGTGGCCTACAAATGTACGATTTACACACAAGTGGAAGGTTTACACAACGGGAGAGCACTTTCACAATCTGTAATCCAATTATTAAAGTCAATATTTGCCTATATCTTCAGACTTTATAGAGACAAGAGTTAATGATCCAATGATTCCACTGAATAATTCTGAAACCTTGAGCAAGAGATTGTAGACAAGTTTGCTCTTGGAGTTATTACGCTACGTTATAATTTCAGTCTCAAGGATTTGTTGGATTTTCTCTCACAACATCAAATCTATGAATCTAACTTTATATTTGGGTCGACATGTTGGCTGAGTCTCGCTTCTCAGCAAGAAAGTCCCGGGTTCGAAACCTGGTCAGAACAGGGTCTTTCTGTGTGAAGTTTGCATGTTCTCCCGTATCTGCGTAGGTTTCCTCCAGGTGTGCCAGTGTCTTCGGCGTCTCGTTTCCGTCATCATCGTGTGTGGAGAAAATGAAATAATGTCTAAACTCTGAAAAAAATGTGCTATATAAATAAAGAAATCTTACTTACTTACTTTAATCCATTCATGATTACAGCTGCATGATTCTATTTGTTTTTTTCCCCAAGATTTTATCCACACCATTGCTAAATCTAGGAATGTATGTAGTCATTACCATTGATGCATATTATGTTGGTATTTAGTTGAATTGATGTTTAACCTTTTATAAGATGATTTGAATCGAGTATCATGCAACCCTTTTGTTCATTGTGTATTCAAGAGCATGTGTGAATACCTCAGTGGTCCCTTTGCAGTATGTGCTGGTAAACTGCATTGCTTGTTGTTAATGTCTACTTTTAACGGTTAGTGGTCTTCATCAGGCCACAGCTTATTAACTGAGAGCTGGCGTCAACAACTCTACAACCCCCCGGACTCACACAAAGAGCTGCATGCTTTGGAAGAGGAGAAACTTCTAAGATGAGAAGCTGGCTTTTTTACATTTTGCCGTTGTTGGAAGGAGCACAAGTATTCCACATTAGCAGTCACATACACGTACTCTTGCCCTGTAATAACCCCTCTTCTGTGCAAATCTGCTCTGCTTCAGATCGGGCTCCTGAGTCCAGTTTCTGGCGTAGAGCTCGGCGCAAATTGAAGCCTTGAGGAATTCTATTGTAACCGTCCCAAATTAGTTTGCCACAAAGACTGGATGTGAGGAGCTGGAGCCGGAGAAGGACATGGCACATTAGCTTTTGTGGGGTGTTTGCTATACTCAGCACTGTTGGATTCTAACGCTCAACTTAGTCCTGTTATCCATGTTTACCGTTTACCGTAGTACCACTTAACATTAAAGGTATATAGGAGGATTTTCCAAAATGTTTGGAAAGTACCGCCCTCTCCACATTTTGACGAGCTCGTATCACCAAAACTATTGACAATTGGGAGGACTAATAGTCTTGATGATCCACCCGGAAGTAGAAAATCCTCCTATATACCTTTAAGATAACTCGTAAAACAACATAATGGACTTGTCGAGGAAATATTTTGTGCCAAAATGTACTTTAAAGTCGTAGTTCAGTGTTTTTGATCTTGTGGCACTGAGTGGAAGGCCAAAAGAGTTGCCTGTTCGCTTTGGAGGTGAAGGGGAAGTTCAAAGTGACCAAAGTGACCCAGAATAAAGAGGAGTAAATATCATGTGTCCCTTACAGCTACAAACAACCAACATACAGTATATATGATTTTTGATAGCTTAGCGCTTCAGACTTTACTAACATTTTCTTCATATTCAATCAAAACAATCCACAAGGGAGGTTGTTTCTGTCTGTAATCTCGCTCCATAGCCTGTAAAGACAACATGACCATGAAAGGCCACACTTAAGAACAGTGTTTAAGAGAGGGGTGTGGTGCGCTGTGGAGTGTGGCGCCAGGTCAAATGGACACTCATCATGTGGGGAGTTTGCAGTAGGACACAATTTGCCGATCGCATCAGAGAGCTATTATCTGATTGTGTTTATGTATAATGTTTGACTGTATTTGGCTCATCGATACTGTGAGATTTGATGCACCTCACAGTATTGATGCAGTTGTTGACAGCTAATACAAACTTATTTATGTTTGTATCCGTATTGCTAAGGACCTACAGATTGAAATGAGCATGAATGATACTTTATGAAGATACCTGCACCAGATGTAACTGCTCATTGACAATAAATAATCTAAACTACACTTATCTCATACCAGTAAATATTACATGATTTGTTCATGTTAGTCAAACCTTTTTCAATGAACTTTGTCAGACCTAATATACTAAGTCACACCATATCAGTTGTGTCTGGCCCCTTTCAGCCATTATAAAAGTGTAAAAGTAAGATGTCATCAACTACCGCACTAAGCTTTGTTATAAAACCATTTTTCACACGGATGACACAAGTCATGATGTGTAGACTTTTTGAAGTGCCTGGCTGCTCTTGGGAGTCTGTCAGATAAAAGCAAAGTAAAACGGTTGCATTTGGCCCTTTTGAGCTTGGATTGAGTAGAAAGAACAACTATCTGTGAGGATGAGGGAGCCCGCCTCTCTGCTGCACCAAAGCGACATCGCCCTTTCAATCAATACACCATTAGTACGCACAGGAGCGCACAACATCAACATTTGTCCTTAACCAGTCACCCTGGCTGCCTGGATTTCCTTTAGTAACTGTCATTTGGCACCAGATGTGTCCAAGATCTCAGACAGTTTGAACTTAGCTGTGCAGACACCTCCCTTGGTCCCCTTAGAGCCCGTTTGGGGGTGTGCTTTCACCCATGTGCTGTGCAAACATGGCAGTGAATCGTGAAATGAGATTTTGCTCCTATCATTACTGGGGCCGGAGCAGAGAAAGCCACATCTCACTCTCCACTGAACGCCTGGCTGCTCGCGTCCCGGTTTGGCGCTTGCGTGTCGTAGCGTCACAAAGAGGCGATCAATAGAACCTGAGCCTGGTAAGGCTCCACGTGCAGATACAGGAAGTACTGTACGGTGTAATGAAAAGAGGATGTTAGATAGTTAAAGAGGATGGGCTTAGCTAAACATGCAGGAGACGTGATAAGTGTTATAATGGGCAGATTTGTTTGCTTTGGTCTAACAACTGCAGAGGCTTTGATCGTCTTAAAGGTTTGAAGTGTTTAAGAGAAAAATGTTGTGGGACATTTTCTTTTAACATGGTGCAAGAGTAGTTTACTAATCTGGTGTGCTGAAAGGAAAGCACATATGCATGGACAGCAGAGGTGGCAAAAACTATGGAGATCTAATTGTGTCAAAAACATTTGTCTGTGTGTAACCAGATTTGTGTGTGCGTAACCGGATGTGTCTGTGCGTAACAAGATGCGTGCGTGTGTAAACAAATGTGTGTGCGTGTAACCAGATGTGTGCGTGCGTATTTTTTTTTTGCATGCGTATAATTATATTTGCATGTGTAATAGAACAATGTGTGTGTAAATTTCCCTGTTGTAAAAAAATATCAACGGAAAAAGTCTAAGTCATCCGCACAAGTCTCTCTTTTACTCACAACACTTTTGACACAGTCCTGCCTTGTCAAAGTTGCAAGCGTAACCTTGGCTGTGTGCGTGTGTAATCAGATGCGTGTGTGCGTAAAAAGATGTGTGCGTGTGTAATCAGATGCGTGTGTGCGTAAAAAGATGTGTGCGTGTGTAATCAGATGCGTGTGTGCGTAAAAAGATGTGTGCGTGTGTAAAAGATTTAAGCGTGTGTAATCAGATGTGTGCGTGCGTAAAAAGATGCGTGTGTGCGTAATTAATTTTGTTTGAAAGTGTAAATGAACAATGTGTGTGTAAAATGTCCAAAAAAAAATCTAAGTCCCACGCACAACTTTCTCTTTTACGCACGAGTCTCTGTTTTACACACAAATCTTTTTGACACAGTCCTGCCATGTCAGAGATTTGTGCGTAACTTTTTTACGCCCAAAGTATTGACTGGCAGGCTGGTTGATGTCATTAAAACCTTAAATCGCCAGTAGATGGTGCTGTTTAGGGTTTCCTGTTTTGAAGATCTGAACTTGCAGAGGATGACGAAGAAGTCTAGCTGGACGAGGGCTATCCATTGAAGTAAATTTACCGCGGTGGCATTATGGCATCTTCTTCTACAGTAAGTGAGCCAGTTTAAGCAGTTTTATAAATTATAATGGTGGTCATTGTTACTTGCTAAAAAATCTCCCACTACTTTTATTATCCTTGAGCAATGCAAGCGAGCGTGAACTAACACATGCTTTTATACATTGTAGGCTAATGCTAAAACCCTGTCTTTATAATTAACAGAAAAAGATGCAACACCATCGATTTGTGAGTACAGTAGGACGTTTAAATGCAAAAAAAATAAAACAAATAAAAATCGAAACCCCGATTGAAGCTCTGTTAGCGGTGTCATATCGTGGCATTAGCATAGTTAGCTTATTGCAAAGTCTATACATGTGGTGAGACGGTTCCCGGCTATTTTGATATAGTACATTTAAGAAACTATTTCGTTAAGGTTGAGGGCAGGAGTTGGAAAAGCGTTAAGTTTTAGCAATGTGGATACAATTAAGGTGAAGGTTAAGGTTAAGAAATAGTTTGGAACAGCTAAATATGAAATAGGGCAAGCAATAATAATTGTTTTATCTTTCAAATCATTGCCAAGTATAACATAAATAATGACATTCACAAAAAGCTCTGGATCGGAATGGATTACATTACATCTTGACCTGTTGAAGTTTATGTGTCTTTTACAGAATAAGGAGAAAAATGTGGAAGAAGTGGCCAAGAACTTAATATCCTTAATTCAGAAGACTTTGGAACCTACAAATGAACCAAGTTCTTCCAATGTAGCAGTAAATCTGCCCAGACCAGTTCCAAGTGTAGCATCAGAAATGCAGAGGTAATGTATGCAAAGTCATAGTTATTGGTTTAAACATACTGTTAAATTTTAAATACTGGTTTCCATACAACCTGATTGTTGCCAATCACACGCGCATACACACATATATATATAATTTTTTTTTAAGAGTGATTCCTGAAAAGCAATTAATCGCTGACAAACGTACAAACATTACAATTTTATTATAATATACGCATGATTCAGCTATTCTCTAAACCCTAAATGTGTTAAAATTATTATAGTTAGTGGGTGTAAGTCATCATCCCCAACGTACTGACTCCATTTACGTAGATAATTTAGCTTTTTTTTTTTAAATGTGCTCCATAATTAAGACCGTTTTATTTAATTGTCAATGTCATTCTTTATCTAAGGGCCTTCGTATACACTGCAGTTGTTGATGTGTGTGTGTGTGTATATATTTATTTTTCAGGTCCTTTCCTGGCTTTTTTAAAGGAAAGCGAAGGTTTGTTCCAGGGCCAAAAAAGATGACCAAACACCAGAATTTTCAGGTGTACCTCCTTTCCAGTCCAGCTAATGTAACGCCTAAGGCAGATGAGGACTTGAGGCATTCTCAGGCAGGGTTAGGTCTAAAAGTCATTAGTTTGGATGAAGATGCTTCACATCAACAGGTTTGGAGAATACAATTTTTTAACTGATCCTTGTAATATATCAGTATTATATGATGTTTTAAGGGCACTTAATGTAATTAAATAGCCTATAATTAAAGATAAGAACTGTCAAATACATAATTGTACACGTTGGATTTTAGAGACAACAAATTTTTGCACTGGTGATTTTGATTTTGTTTTATTCTATTTTAGATTTCTCAAGAGCTGATTATGGAATTCCCCAAGCTACAGATCTTAAAAGGCTCATGGATGTTTTATAAGGCAACAGGTAAATCAAAAATGTTGATTTACCCGTCACTCATCACTCATATTTAAAATGAGTGATTTATTTTGTATTTTTATTACCTAATGTTAAAGTAAAGACAATCTTCCACTAAGATGTTTGCAACAAATGTGTTTTAAGTAAAGAGAGCATTGTTGAGGCACATGGCTTTTGTCAAGCATATGACATCTATATTCTTTTTTAGGAGGAGGGGGCCAAAGAAAGCTGACAGTTGTAAGCCCCCAAGCGGATGGTTATACAACACCATACCTTAAGAGAGCATCAAATGGAGGGAAGATCACATTGTACATTGCACCAATACAGGGAGAATTGGATATAACTCCTCTCGAAAAAAATGCAGCTGAATTTAGTAAAATGCCTAAAGCAACTTGCGAAATCTGCCAGGAAACCATGCCCTTACATCTTTTGCCTCTCCATGCAGTGAGTTGCGAAATCAAAGAAATGGACGTGAGTAAATGTTGATCCTTTTGAATCTGTATGGTTCGTTCTTTGGTTTAAAAATGTTTCGTTGAAATATAAATTACAGAGGGGTAATACTGTGCATCTGTAATTCCATTCTAAGAAAATTATGGAAATACTAAAATAAGAAATCAAATCACAAAATATATTGTTTTTCGTATCATGCAATACTTGCTTAACAATCAACAGTGCAGCCTACGTAATATAAAGGCACATCCTCTCTCTTTCTCCGGCTGGGCAGTGGCCAGCTCATGGCACTAGACATTTGTCCCATAAGGGGCTCGCTCGGTGGGTGAGGTCTTCCTTGAGAGTGCTCACAAAACATTCTGGCTATTAACCAACATAACAGACATAAGTGCTCACAAATGCATGCATAATTTTTTGACCAAGTTTGACTTCAGAGAACCGCAATAAACTAATGGGTGGGGCTACCTTAACTTTATACTACTGTACGTATAATTTCCTCGTCCAGACTTTGGCTCACTGCTGGTCTATTGATGTGCTTTGAATTAAACCGCGCACACGTTGCTGTATCATAGTTTGATGCTGATTTAGGTTCAGAGCCACTGGAGCAGTGTCTGACTAAATTGATAATTGATCTTGCTGTCGGCAATCATTAATATAGTAATAGTCCTCAGGCAGTGCTCCCTCTTGTTAGAAATTATTTGTTCTACATACTCCTTTTCACATTAAAAGAGTCTGTGCTACTAGGAATGTTTTAGAGAGAATAATTTCATAGGAGGTGCTAGGTTAGTCCCAAGGTGCTAAAGTACCCCCAGCCCCTTCCTGTGACGGGGCACACCTTTTTTTGAAATGTATGAATGAAAAGGCCTTTATATTTGAAAAAGCAATTTGCAATTTGGTTGAGTCTCTTTAGATTTGGACAGATTTAAATCTTTGTTGGAATGTTTGTTTGCTTGTTTATTTTAGAAATCTGATGTTGAGTGTGTCGATCTTGATGAAAAACCCAATGCAAAAATCCTCACACGAAAAACAACATCCAAAGAAGTGAACTCCACGCCTCAGCCGACATCCAAAGTCAGTCACATTGTTTTCTTAGTATTATTTCCTTTTTAAATTTATATTTCACATAAATGTGAGCACTTGCTTAACAGTTGATGTCTCTTCTTTATAGAAAGTGCTATGCCCTATATGTGACCAGCTATTCGATTTGGATAAAGTGGAGTTTCATGCTAGTTTTTGTGTTGAGAGGTAAGGTATCTTTTGTGTATACTCACTGTTTAGGTTGTGTATTAACAATACAATTTAGCTTTTCAATTTCTCAAATCTTCTCTTGTAGCATTTGCGGTGATGATGACAATAAGGCCCAAGGTTCTGATAAGATTTTTGAGTCAGCCCCGAGCACTTCAGAAAACTGGAAAAATGCTAAAGATCCAAAAAGGGCCATTTCACTTTTTAATAAGGAACTACTGAAGAGTAATAGCTCAAAGCCAGCAAATAGTTTTACTTTCGACTTAAGAACTGGCCCAGAGGAACAGGATAGGTCCTATGTGAGCTTTTATAAAAGCAACGGTGTGGAGTGGGCATCTCCACTAGCGTGTACACTTGCAGGTGTGTCAAATAAAAGTTAAATATTTGTTGGATTGTTTTTTTACTTTCATATTTCTTGCTCTGATTATGTAGGTGATGCAGCAGTGGGACTGGGTGTCAATAGGCATGTTATGTCTACATTAATGAACAAACTGAGGAGTGGATTCCACATCAATGTTGGTACGCATGTTCTTTTTGGTTTCTATGCAAAATACATTGCTATTGTGTTTGTAAATGTATTATTTAATCTTAATTAGGACATGGTCCAGTTACAAAAATATTTGATGGCCAAAGCGACCATTTGGTTCCATCAAATTCAGCAATGATGCTAGAGGGTGAACTGTTTCTCATGGCGGGAAGAATGCTGGGCCATTGTTTCCTCTACGGAGGGCCTGGTTTCCCTGGTCTGAGTCCTGCCATAAAGCATGTACTGTCTGGTGGCTCCATTGAAACTGCTACTGTTGTAGTAGAGGACTGTCCTGATTTGGACCTGAGAGATACTATTGATCTTGTAAGAACCTATCTTTTGTGGTGTTACTTTTATGAAGTTTTGCATTTGTCCCACCTTTACTTGTTTTGTCTCCGACATGTAGCTGAAGAAAACTGACCTTAAAGAAGAGGAACGGCAAAACCTGGTTAAACTCTGTCTTGCTTGGGATTTGCCTCTTCCTACTAAAGACAACATTAAATGTCTCCATGAGAAGCTCCTCCTTCATGCGGTAGTGTCACTGAAGTAGTAGTAGTAGTCACTGATGCCTGACCTCTGTTCAGATGGTCAGGCCATGGTATTTTATGATACAAGCAAATTAAATGGCAAAAATAATGAATATGACTAGGAAAGAAGTACGGAATGTACAAAACACTCCAATTCCTGTACATGAGCAGTTTGTAATTTCGGACTAACACCAACCAATTAGCTATACAATTATTACTGCGCAACAACAATAAATTAGCTCACACTATTACACTTAACTTAAGAACTTTTTTTTTTTTTTTTTAGGTTTTAGGTCGGGCATCCAAACAAATAAAACAGATTCGAAAAGGGCTGAAAGAAACGGGTATCTGGCCTTTACTCTGTGAGAGAGATGATGTGGTGAAATTGTTTTTCCCATCAGAAGTTGATGCAGAGATCACAGCGGAGGTTTTTTATGACTTTTGCTTTAATTGCTGTAATTACAACTATTCTTAATACATTAAATACATCTCCCTCTTTTCTCTAGATGATTCTTTCGCCGATTCAATGGCCAATTCCAAGCACAGATTCTGACTCGGATGACGAAGATGACTGCTCTGTTGAAGAGATAACTCGTACCTGTGACTATTTAAAGACTTACGTTAATCAAGGTATTTTGTCCTTCTGAATCAAGACCTCTGAAGTTTCCCTTTCATCCAACTTTTTTGTTCAACAGCTTCTTCGGAAAAAAGGAAAAGTCTTCTCAAGTTCTGGGTGGGCTGGGAAGTCCCTCAAACTCGGCTTACTGTTAAAGTCCAACGTGGCCAGTTTCCTAGATCCATGACGTGCATGGACACCATCAAGTTACCGTCACATTACAAAACCTACCAAGAGTTTGAAAAAGACTTGGATGCGGTCATTGCAACCTTTGACACCGGTTTTGGATTGCCTTGATCCTTGTTGCCTATTAACATATTCAGGGTTCCATGTTTTAAAATTAGTTTTAAATGTTTTGATCGCAAAGCAAACTGTTCAATTCATTGATTAACATATTGTGGTACAATGTATTGTTGTTCATTTTAAAATTAATTGTTGAACCTCATATTTGCCTCAGAATGGCCAGAAAATCCAAATAGTTCTGACAAGTCAAGTCAAATAAAATGTTCCACTGGTTATTTTTGTATTATTTGCACCCATGTTTGTGCCTAATACAGGAATCAGCAACGTTCAAGATTTTGTTTTATTGCAATGCAAGTAAGTCAACAAATGGTCACAGCATTTTGGCTTAAAATGTAGGGGGGCCATTATCAAAATATGGGCATTTTCTGTCCGGGAAAAAAAAAAATCATGTACAATAAATGTACATAATCACCAGGACATGTTCAATACCCTCTTAGTATTACTTTCATTGTTTTATAATTTCAGATATTTATTTTCAATTCTGTGTCATTGGTTTTATAACTATTTTTATGACAAACTAGGCAATAATGCAAGAAAACATTTTCTCATTTGGGTAAAATTTTGCATTTAGGAAATTAAACAATAGCCATTTTGTCTAAGAACAATATTTTATTAAAATAAGGGAGAATTAAATTAAGCCCAGTGTTTTTATAACACCATTGACAAAAGTGTAACACCAGTGACTTTGCATCAGATGCCTCCATTCATTTAATGTGGGGCTGTAACACCAGTGACCGTAACACCAATGACGAATTTAAATCAACTGTCCCTTTTTCTTAAGTATTTCTATGTCATTCCTGAACAAAGGTGGTGTATCACAGCAATGTTGGATAGTTTTAGCTGTGAACCTGTTTTTTGCCCCAGAGAAATTCTAACTGATGCAAACAGCCGTAACACCAATGACATTTCAAAATGACCCACAGTATAAAATCACACGTTAAAGTTACTTCTTGTTCTTAGTGAGGAAATTATGTCCTCCTTTATATTTCCCAGGATTAGGCTTTTAACTTGGTCTCATCAGACCAGGAAAATATTTCTTCACATCTTTTTTTAACCTTACAAATCCTGGAAAGTAATGCTGATAACACCAATGACACAAAACTGAGGGACAGAGATTTTTCTTTACTATTTTAATTAATAGTTGTGATTTTTCATATAAGATCTGCAGATTATTGAAGACTATTCTCTGTTTGGCATTGGCAAGAAACATATTTATAGACTTATTGTAAATATTCATTTTAACTGCACAAAAGGTGTGAAAATGGGGTCGGGGACATTGGGTTTTCAACATATACTGGATATTCAAAGTGAAATAAAAATTAAAAACTGCAAAAACATGATCTGAAATTACCTGGCTTTATCATGTGGCCCCCAATTTAATATTGTCTTGTTTTACTGCATTGTGTTTTTTTTTTTTATATTTCATTTTCAGGGATGGGAAGTGCAGGGACAGGTTATTATCCATAATTTGAAGATGACCTGATGGCCCGATTCTAGTAACATGGTTTCATTGCAAAGCCAAACAATACAGTAGGGTCTGTCTTTTTCAGCTGGTCCATTTATAAGTCACACATTCCACAGAAAAATAACTTTTACACATGGCTATTCATAATTTCAACACTGGAGAGATGGTCCAAAGGCTTAAAAATCTGAGGAAATTGAAATTGGCCAGAGGTAGGCAACCACTTGTATGCAAAATATCGATAACCGGGCTATAGATAACAAAACAACCGTCTACAGCAGTGGAATTACTAGGAGTCATCTGAAATTTCAGACTGCATTTGAATAACAGATTATTTAATTTATGTTTTACTGAGAGGTATATTTTACTTTGGCGTTTTAGGCTTTTTTTTGTTATGGTTTAGTGTTTTTGATGTAGGCTTGGTTGCATTCGGAAGGTTGAACTTTAATAAGGTGGTAAAAAAAAAAAAAAACTTATAGACATATAAGGTGGTACTTGAATAGTTTGAGAACCAGTAGCCAAGTTACAGTACATATGCACACATTTTATCTGGCATTAACGATGCGCTCCACATATTCAACAGTGGCTAGGTAAAGGTCAGTTCCATAACTATCTGAAGGAGTGAGAGGGTCTAGTGTCCGTTTGAGTTGGTCCATTTCCTGTTCAGTGAGGGGATTCAGGAGAACGGGAACTTGTACTCCAGCGTCTGAGGCAGTGGCGGCTGGTGGAATTTTCTACTGGGGGGGCTATGAATATGATGACTAGATATATACCAGCAGTAAGTAAGTTTACACTGACTGTTGTGACTGAAGCCTCACACGAGAATCAACAAGGTCACATGATGCTTTCTGATCCCTACCCTGTAGCTTTCATCCAGCTGGGATGAAATATTTATCTTCCCAAACATAGCTAATTTGAGGGCATTTTGCATGTGGATACCAGTCTGCTCATGCTTCTTTGCCTTTTCTAAAAAGTGCTTCAGATCAGTCATACCTGTCTTGATCCATCCTGGGTCAGATCCTGATGTTTGAAACAAGAGGCATGGAAAGCAAAATAAAGCATTAGCCTCGCTACATGCTGCTAGCCAAGATTTGGCGCTGAACCAGGTCCTGGAAAAAGTATATAAATAATATATTGAGTGTACCGTCTCCCCCTGTCGCTGGACTGCTGACTAATGGTAATATTTGGCTGATCAGGTCCAAGCTCTTTAACCTCAACCTTCTCCTGGTATGATCTTCTCTCAAACGGTATTGTTTTGAGTGATCTAACTGAATTATTCTTTTTCTCGTTCTCCATTTTGCGTCTCTTTACGTTCGTCTCAAACTCCCACAGCTTGACCTGTCAATCACTGTGAACGGACGTCACAGACAGTGACAGTACAGGTCGCGGGCGATCCCGCCCCCTCAGGGCGCACTTCTCCTGCGCCCCCAAATCGTCTTATCTCTTGCATTGAAGAGGAGCTACTGCGCATGTACAACTTTTAACGAGAGTCCATAGACGGCTCAGGGCGCAATCTTTTGCGCCCTGAGGCGGAAATACGTCCTCAGTCCGACACAGACAACGCTGATGAGCTTAATCAATCCAACTCAGCATAAACTATAAAGTATTTCTTCCACATCTGAAATAAAACACACATAAATTTCGAAATATTTTAATGTTATTATTTTTTTAAACGTTTTATTCAAGGTAACATGGCAAGTTGTGAGTGGTGGGGCGGCGCCCTAGCGCCCTCTATTGGCCGGCCGCCACTGGTCTGAGGTACTAAAAAATCCACTTGACTCCCACTCTATCTCAGGTATTTGCAGGTCCTACATAATAGATAAAAAGTTACATAAAATTCATTGCCATTAAATGTGTAAACATTGATACATACATCTAACATTGGTGGCTCTGGAACAGGAGTCTGCATTTCTCCCATCTGCCACAGTTGATTGGGTGACAAGTTTTGCTCAGTTCTCATTGGGTGATTGTCCCATCCTTCACGAAACACATCAAGAGACATTTGCAGTCGTGGAATAAAAATGTAATGGCAACAGAATAGGTGAATCTGGTTGGAAATGTCAAGATGTCCCCAATCTTCCAATGCGTGAATAACATTATAGTAGACATTTGTCACTGCCATGTACACATCCCTCCACAATCTCTCGATTCTATAAAAAGACAAACAAAAAAAATTAGTCTTTCTACAGCCCCTCAAAGAAAAATGGTTGAGAACCACTGGTCTAAAACATACTTTATCACCAACATTTACATCATATTAAAATGACTTTCTAAATTAAAATTTGGTAAAAAAAAAAAAAAAAAAAAAAGCTGAGAATGTTTAACAAATTTTTCAGGCAATGTCAGTGAGGGAATTTGTTGGCTATGTATAATTTGTTTTTTGTTTTTGTTTTTTTAACATACAAAAAAACTCTCAATACAAAAAAAAACCTATTTGTACTCTGTTTATAATCATTATATATCTTGTTTGTGCAGTTTACATACATCTTGATAAACAAATTGTTATTAACACTGCAAACTGCAAAACCAAAAAAATATTGATTGACAACTCTGGCCTTTATGGAAGAGTGGCAAGAACAAAGCCATTTCTTAAAGATGTCCATAAAAAGTGTTGTTTAAAGGAAGAAAACCTGATGGAGTCTGCAAAAGACCTGAGACTGGGATGGAGATTTGTCTTCCAACAAGACAATGATCCAAAACATAAAGCAAAATCTACATTAGAGTGGTTCACAAATAAACATATCCAGGTGTTAGAATGGCCAAGTCAAAGTCCAGACCTGAATCCAATCGAGAATCTGTGGAAAGAACTGAAAACTGCTGTTCACAAACGCTGTCCATCCAACTTCACTGAGCTCCAGCTGTTTTGCAAGGAGGAATGGGCAAATATTTCAGTCTCTCAATGTGCAAAACTGATAAACCCAAGGACTTACAGCAGTAATCGCAGCAAAAGGTGGCGCTACAGAGTATTAACTTAAGGGGGCTGAATAATTTTGCACGCCCAATTTTTCAGTTTTTTATTTGTTAATTTTTTTTGGAAATATCCAATAAATTTCGTTTCACTTCATGATTGTGTTGTTAGAGAAATAACAATTGATGTTTGAGAGGACCGATGAAGAAGAGGCAGAAGTCAGGATGTCTTATACAGGAGAAGTTTATTTACCATCGTTACGGGACCCGGAGACATGAATATCAGACATTGCGCTAGTCCTACCATTCAAGTCTGCCTATGCTTCCACAGAAGAGGGATAAAATACCATCTAATTGCGTCATACTGATACGTAAGCAAAACATTCGGTGGCGCCCGAGCACCACAGTCAAGGCCGTGACAGAGATAGTACGACTGTACAGTTTGACCCACGGATAATACGAGTTTACAGCTTGACCCAGTAAGATAAATAGTGATTTAATATTATCCTTCAACAGTGTCCCACTTGTTGGTTCTTCACAAAAAAATACAGTTTTATATCTTTATGTTTGAAGCCTGAAATGTGGCAAAAGGTTGAAAAGTTCAAGGGGGCCGAATACTTTCGCAAGGCACTGTATGCAAAAAAGTATTCGTTTTCACCTTTGATTGTGCACACTCTTGCCCGAAATAAAACTGCCAACTCCGGTCCCGCGAGCAGAAAACATGAGACGAGCGACTGCAACGTTCTCTACACCTTGATCCGCTCGAACCCTGATTCCAAAAAACATGTCATTATATTATGTTAGTAAATATAACGTCTCACTCACACAAAATCGGATATCCGATTCATAGTAAAGAAAAAATAATAATAATCCTTTCATCTCCCAATAGCCAATGACACAAAACCTGCTCCTGAAAAGAATGACTGAAGGTGCATTAAAAAAAAGGGGTGAACACATATATTATAATAGAGGTTGAATTGCACCCCTTTAAATCTGTGCCTGCCACAGTTATTGCACAATAGACTCATATCCCTTACAAAGGCTCTTTTAACATGTACTGCAAATAATTTTGGAACACCACATCTGTGATAAGCTTGTAATAGCTAGCTATGTTGACCAATCAAATTCTTGCTGTTTGATATCGTCATTGTGTCAGTTCCACAGCAGGAATATGGATGACCTTCAATTTTTGTATAAATAACGGAGCATAAATATTTTGCATTAGAATGAGTTGGAAGGGAAGTGTAATCTTCCTTTCAACTACTGAGTACAGAAGATGAATAAAGTACCTTCATTGAAGACTTCTTTTTCAACTGTTATGATCTGGTTTATTATGGGTGGACACACACGCACGCACGCACGCACGCACGACAGGATTTTAAAAAAGGAACACAACAGAAGTTTTGGCCCAAATATAGTAAATGAGGAGGATGCCCTCTTCAAATCTTGCACTCATACCAATTGGTTGTGTGCACACTATTTAGTTACCGAGTCACATGAAGATTGAATGTTGTGACGGTGACTTATTAAAACATTATTCCTTTTCATATAGCAAGGGATCAAAATCATGAGCTGCTACACTGAACTGTAGACAAAAGCATGAACCACATTTGACCTGGGGCAAAATATTAGAACAAGCTAGATTAGAATTTAAAAATACCTTAGTGGGAAGCCAAACTTGTCCACTGATTCCTGGAAAAATGCCAGCGTTGTTTCTGACCGATTGTTATTGGCAACTCCAAGATACATGATCTGAAACATATTGTTAAAGAATGTAAATTACAAATTTTACTATAAATACTTAAGGCATTTAATGTAGTGTCAATAAGGGCTGTTTCTCAGTTACTGTAGGTTCATACTATGAACACACTGACTACTTATGTGAGATGTCGATTTCATTTCTTTTTTGCTGTGGTTTACTTTCCCTAGTTTTTAAGATTTCATATTTATTAATGCATTATGGGCAAAACCTACCAACATGACATTTTTGACTGCAAACTCTACATAATGGATAGAGCTGGGTCAAAACTTACGAGTTCAGTGAGTTCCAAAGATTGCATTTGGGTAGAAATGTGAAAATCTTAAATGTAAATGAATCAGTCAAATACATTTTTTTTTTTACTCTTGAGGGTTACAAAACTCAAAATCAGGCTAATAAGTCAAATTATGAGAATGTAGTTTCTGCTTTAGATGCAGATGTCCCCAGAGTGTAGGGCTGGACGATATGGCCAAAAAACAAGTTACCACAATTAATTTTTTGTTTCCTCATACTGAGCCATTTCTATTTAATTTTGTACATGCAGTTGATTCATAAAACGTGACACACGCACGCACGCATTTCTTTTTAGTGCTCAGATAAATCTGTGAAGTAGTAGTAGTAGTAGTAGTAGTAGTAATCTTTATTTATATACCGCCTTTTCACTGCAGATCTGAGTCTCAAAGCGGTTTACAATTGTTAATTTTTGGGCATTTGTCTCTCACTCCACACAGAGATGGGAGCGGGGTCGCCAGTACAGGAGGCGCATGCTAGAACTATTGGACATATTTTTAGTGGTAGGGGAAACCGGAGTACCCGGAGGAAACCTACGCAGACACGGGGAGAACATGCAAACTCCATTCAGAAAGGCCCTGGTCCGACCGGGATTCGAACCCAGGACCTTCTTGCTGAGAGGCGAGAGTGCTATCCACTCAGCCACCGTGCCGCCCAAAACTTATTTTTTTCAGTGAAATAAGGAAACAGTTATTGTGCATGTAAATTATGCCATTTCTTTGAGTCCAGGTGAAAGCACATTATAAACCGGCACCATCTTCCCTTAAGGCTCACACAAAGCATACCTTTCTAGAGTAGCCATCGATGCCTCCAAAGATGACCATGTTATATCTGTAAAGACAAAAAATACAAATGTCATGCCTCCAAATGTACATTAAAAAATAATCATTGATCCTACCTAATCAGCTTGTGGTTGGTATCAATATGCACAAGGCTTTTGGGACACGGGACAGAATAGGAGCGTCTCACTGTGCACCTTAACGAAGAGAGTCTCTCTAAAACACCAAGGGTGTCGACTCTGTGGAGAGATGCACGGACACGTTCCCACTGAACGAGGTGGCCCCTGGATTTAAGGGCACCTTTCACCATCCTGTACCCGCTGTCTGGCATATTTGTTTTTATATCAGCCACCACACTGTCCAACTCCTGATCAGACATTTCACTGTACAGGGCAGTAACAGATAAGTTGTTTTCGGCCATTCTGCGGTGGATTGTAGATCTTGACACTCCCAACAGACTTGCAATGGCTGTGCTAGATAATGGAATGTTGAGCAAATACTTTAAATATTCTGGATCTATTACACATTTTGGCCGGCCTCTTCCAACAGCTTCAAACTGGAACACAAAGATCTGATCACCATCTCTTGTGTCCCGCACCAATCTGCACAGTTCTGCAAGTGTGTTCACAATACTGTTGGGAACATCAAAAGTATCTGACATTGCACTCAGGAGAACAAGGTCCTGAGTGCAGATGAAATCTAGCCGGTCCAAATCGAAAGGTCTGTGGTCCATCACATTCTGGAGCCGGGTAAAAAGCCTTCCCAGGATGTAATTTGGAGGACTCTATAAAGAACAAAGAAAGAAAGAAAGAAAGAAAGAAAAACATACAACCAATTAGCTTACACGTTCATAGTGTCTTATTTTGTGTATATCAAAAAAAATAAAAAAGATCAATTGTGGCTTTGGGAAGTTTTGTGTACCTGTGGATCCTTCAGTAATCATATCTCTTAAATTTAATGATATCGGGGTAGTGCATGTGACGTCAACAAATGTAAAAACTTGACAGTTATTATCCTTTGCTAATTTTATTACAGCAAAAGCAGCAAATAGTCAGCAATGGGAGGATGCAGTTTGTTTCTGCTGATTTTCACCAGATGTAAATAGGTAAACAGCAGGTTTATCCAGGTGTGCAGTACAAGGGAACAAATTTCGGACATTGTTTTGGCCCACCATAGAAATATTTATTTAATACATTCATGTTGCCAACTAAAGCCTCAGACGTGACAACATTGTCATCACTCCTATGTTATACCTTGCATTTTTGAAGGGTACATTTGCGTTTTGCCTTTACACGTGTATACCTGGAGGGCGGGCCTGCTCAGAGGGGCGCCTTGGATTGAAATATCTTGACTTGGGGTGTGTTTGACTGCAGGTGAATATGAACATTCAAGAAGTAAACAAGTCGCAACTGTAGAGGTTGCCAATATTAGTCTATCAACACACAATTGATATAGGTGGGATCAATCGTGTGTGTTGGCTAATATCAGCGACCTCCACAATGACGGCGTGTTTTCTTTTTGACTGATTAAAATTAACTATATGAAAGCCCGACTCTGCACACCACACTCAACTTATCTAAACCAAACTTATTTTTAAAGGGAGGCTTAACATGAACTTAACCTTAACAGGGTTCTAGCAGGCCTCTGTTGAACCGTTCACATACTAGTTATACTAGGCACTTTTTCAGACACCGTTTTTTTCTTTCATATTAAACCAACTAGCTGAACTATCATTAATCCTCGATAACTTTACTTACTGTGTCCGTGTGTGAAGCTAGCGAAGAAGCCATGGTAGTCGCATGTTGCACGTCTTCAAAACAGTAGAGTGGCGAGTCTGCCTTCAGTCTTGGACCGCACGTGACCGAAAGCAAGCGCCACCCATAGACATAATATACCGCCACCTACCACAATTCATTGCGCAGGACGTTGTTTTCCAAGCTAACTGCTGCCATCTGCTGGCCGCTTAGTAACCCGATCGCTGTCACAATAAATAAACGTATGTAGTTTTTTTAGTTTACTTTTTTTGTTTTAAGGGATATGTATGGGTACATTTGAGTCGCCTTGAGCGATTACATTTCAAGCTTCAATCTGAATGTACGATTATAATGGTTTTAATGACATCAACCAGCCTGCCAGTCAATACTTTGGGCGTAAAAAAGTTACGCACAAATCTCTGACATGGCAGGACTGTGTCAAAAAGATTTGTGTGTAAAACAGAGACTCGTGCGTAAAACAGAGACTCGTGCGTAAAACAGAGACTCGTGCGTAAAACAGAGACTCGTGCGTAAAAGAGAAAGTTGTGCGTGGGACTTAGATTTTTTTTTTTTTTTTTTACAACTTGGACATTTTACACACACATTGTTCATTTACACTTGCAAACAAAATTAATTACGCACACACGCATCTTTTTACGCACGCACACATCTGATTACACACGCTTAAATCTTTTACACACGCACACATCTTTTTACGCACACGCATCTGATTACACACGCACACATCTTTTTACGCACACACGCATCTGATTACACACGCACACAGCCAAGGTTACGCTTGCAACTTTGACAAGGCAGGACTGTGTCAAAAGTGTTGTGAGTAAAAGAGAGACTTGTGCGGATGACTTAGACTTTTTCCGTTGATATTTTTTTACAACAGGGAAATTTACACACACATTGTTCTATTACACATGCAAATATAATTATACGCATGCAAAAAAAAAATACGCACGCACACATCTGGTTACACACACACACATTTGTTTACACACGCACGCATCTTGTTACGCACAGACACATCCGGTTACGCACACACAAATCTGGTTACACACAGACAAATGTTTTTGACACAATTAGATCTCCATACCCCCCGCCCTCGCTGCACTGCTGCTGCTCTGATTTAAAGGAGAGCTACTGCTTTTAGGATTTTGGCTTTTCATAGTTGTTATTCCGTTAAATTTGCGAAATTTGCCATTTGAACATTGTGTTATGACACAGTTAAACGTTTTTAAACCCCATTAGTGAATAAGTTTTGAATATTATATGTTTTTTGAAACCCAAATATTAGTGCTAAAGCTTTGCTTTTCTTTTTAAATCTGCTGCTTATTTTTTGAGTCCATTATTGTATCTCTGATATATTTCATAGCTGTTTGTGAGAATTTTTTCATGTATTTTTTATTTTAGTTACAAAAGCCGTTTTTCAAACATTTAAATTAGAATCTGTGTAAAAAGTGATTATTGATTATATTATATTATTGATTATATATAATATATATATTATATATATATATATATAATTAGATGATTATAACATTAGGATTAGTAAAGGCTGTGATACTGAAAGACGTAAAAGGAATTAAGGAAAACATTAATATAAGCATTTTATACATAAACAAATCAAGTGCATGTTATTGTGAATGTCACTGTTGCATAACTGTAAATACACCTTGGAATAAACTAAGATGTAGCAACCACACTATTTAAGTTAATTTAGAATGATAAATGGAGGGTGGGAGTTTAAAAGTATTAACTTCTTCACACTCCTTTTTGAACTGGATTGCTGTTAATAAAACAAAACTGTATATTTGTACATGATGATGATGATGATTGACTTTTAAACATGATTCCTGCAGGATCCAATCTGCAGTGTTTTACTGATTCACTGTCATCCAGTGTATAGAATATTTCTCCTGCCTCTACCGTCCACCATTTTGTCCTCTTAGGGAACTTTTAAGTTGCTAAAAGTCCTCCTCTCAACTCTTAAGGGATCTCACCTTAGGAGCACTCTTAAGAGCTAGGATTCTTTAGGAATAGCTTTTTTCTTAACTAGAAGCTACTCCTCACTTTTAGGGGAAATTCTAAGAGTTGGTCAAGATTCTAAGAAAATTCTTAGAATTTGGCCACTAGGAGCAACTTTTAGCACTAAGAATCTTTAGGAATACGGCCCCAGATGTTCAGTAGTTTCAATGTCATTTTCACAAAATATACAGTTGGTTTGTGCAATATTAAATCTTTTTCTGAGCAGTTCATTGGATGGATAGATTTCATTAAGAATTTTGAAATGTACTTTTGTTTTAGGGCTAAGAAAATTTTAATATTCTGATCTAATCTTTTTTATTTCCCTTAAAGAACATTTTTGAATAATTGAGTTTGTTTGGTTTTATAGGAAATAGGTGATTAGTCGGACATTTTCTGAGGGTTTTGTTTGGTATCTTTTTTTCAACAAAGTTTTGTTCATAATTTGCAAAATTGAAAAATTAGGAGCAGGCAAATTATCTAGGACCATATATTCTATCTGAATCTTTAGAGCTTGAGGAATTGATTTTAAGGGCTTTTTAAATTCAGATTTCTGACATGTGAGATTGTGAAGAGTGCAGAAGTTTTCAAATGATAACCAGTTCCCTTGGTCCTCCAGTAGGTGGCGCAGTGACCACACTTTTATCCATCCAGTTCTGCAGAAAATAGATTTTCTATTGCAAAGGACATATCTGTTGTTCCATAGTGGTGTTTGGTGAGGGGTGAAATTGTGATTGTACATGAGTTAGCGGTTGCGGTGGACCTACGTAAGCACAACTGATGTTATACTGGCGCGTTCCCCTTACGGAGTTTTGAGGAAAATGTTGTAATCCCACAACAAACCACATGAGGGCGATCACACAGGAGCGGTCCCATTTACGCTGCTACTTTGTCCTCTTCAGAACAACAATAACAAACAAAGCTGTTTGAGCTCATTACACGTGTTTCTACTGCAGGTTTATGTGATAGTTTTATGGATTCATCATTTTATAAGTCATTTCAACTGGGATGCTGTGAATAAAGACTGTGTCTTTATTCACAGCATGTTCTTGTTGGAAACAGTTATTAAATAGTTCTATTTCATATGTTGCTTCGCCCTTTAGGCTTCGCTAATGCATATCTCTCGGAAGCATCGCTTCCCGCCCTGAGAAGATCAAACGATCCACCCTCCAATCACCTTCACGTCCTGGCGTAGGTCTGTCCCCTATAAAAAGGGTCATGCACCACAGCTCTTCTCCTTTCTCTCTCAGCTTGCCTAAGAGAAGCTTCGATCATTGGAATAGGATGTCATCAAGCAAGTTCGCCGCGCCTGAAGATCTGTCACCCTCCGGTGTCAGGCTGCGGGTCTGCGACTCGTGCCCAGCGGCACTTTCCCTGGCTGACCGCCACGAGTCCTGCGTCTTCTGCCTGGGCTGGCGTCATGCCGCGGAGGAAAGCCCCAGCTGTGTGGCTTGCCTCGCGCTCCCCAGGGAGGAGCGCGACAGGCGCAGCGGGCTACTCAACGCCGCCTGTAGTGATGCCCAGGGTGCCCTCGCTCATGGTGTGCCACCCTCCGCCCACACTGCTGCTTCGCCTGGATCAGCGGAGA